TGCCTTTTCCTGAGTTGCTATTCTGAGAGTAGCGTGACACAACAGGACCAGTGGACTATTACTGACTTTGAAAAGTGCCTCTCTGAATGGTATAAAAAACAGTTTCTGCAGAAGATATGCACTGAGATCTAACATAAAGGCATTTTAAAGAGTATTCAGGATAAAAGTGACAGATCTCTTTCTTTCCCAAGAGTACGTTTTTCTTTAGATTGCAAAACAGAAAATTACTCAACCAAAATCCCCAAGAGGAAATATAAATCCCTGGAACATTTTAATGATATTAATATCTCCCAAATGCCTAAAAATATTTCTTTAAAATGAGTTAAGAGAAAATGGCATTCTCCTCCATAAGGCCCAAGCACTCGAAATTCCTGTTGACGAATGACCTCCCTGATTAGAAAATAATAAATTGAGAACTCTAGTGGCCTTTCTTCCTTTTTCATTTTACAAGTGCTGCCTTCTATCTATAGTGAATAAATTAAAAAGAGCCAACTCCTCCATGGCAACTATTTGAAGAGGCATTAACCATTTCCAGAAGTGGGTTAATGTTTTTGTGGGTAGTCACAATACAGGAGGCTGTCAAACCTCTTTGGTCGCCCCAAAACAGAATCATGTTCTCATCCCCGAGAGGTCTCGCCTTTGTTATTTGTCATGCGTTGATCTGGGTTTTCTGCCACTGTTTCTGAAGAACACAGAGTTCAGCCCCCTCCCACAGCTGCTGCTGTCCAAGAGGTGTGACAGCTTGAAGACCTCTAAAGAAAAGATACCAAGGGTTACACAGGGCATCTTTCAGTCCAAAGTGATAATGGGAACAAGAACCTTCTCTACCTTGTAGGTCAGCTTTGGTCAACGCAACTTTGTTAGCAAAAGAACAGAAAAGGTGAAAACAATAACCAGAGGTTAGTAAGAGGTAGAGTAAACCAGGGTAACATTACAGAAATGAAGGTACAGTCGGCATAACCAGCATCACTCAGACGGACAATTGAGATGCTACAGGTTCTCCAGAGACAGCACAGACGGGGGATGCACAGACCGGGGTGGAGCAGGCCTTGTTGGAGCCACGACAGCAGAGCAGGAGCAGGGAAACACTGGACTTGACAAAGCACAAGCAGTGGTAACAAGAGCCTTCCCACATCCACACAGCCAACCCCCAGGCACATGGTCCAGAAAAATAATTTTCCATCGGTCAGGATAAACATTAAGAAATAAGGGTAGTGTGTAGCCAGACTAAAAGACACATGTGCACAACCCAATGGAGCCCACAGAAATAATTCTGAACATGGAGGAGATAAGCATGGAAGAGTCACTTGGGAGCAGTCCTTGTAACCTCCTGAAAACGTCGCCAAGGAATGTAGCACTAAAAACGGGCATTTGTATCAGGGTGATTTGATACCACAAAAGAGATTCATTTGTTTAATTTATAAAATACAGCGAAATCCAAATGGCTGTGGTCAAAAAGGCACCAAACCAATGTCTTTTTTATTTATTCATACCAGTCCCAAAATGGAGCATATGTGTTTCTCTCAGAAGTTTACCAGCTACAATTTTGGAATTGCATTTCTAGCCGATACATGCCTTGGTCTCTATAGCAAAGCTGGCCTCCAGATACAAAGAGATATTTACCAGCTGAGTATTGAATCAGACATTATAAAATTCCTAGCCCAAATTGAGAGACTGCAAGTCATGGTTATATGTTGGCTAAGAGTTGTCCAGAAATTGCACTTAATCTAAATTATACATTCTGCATATATTAGAGACATAAAATCAAAACCTAGTTCAAGATGTTTTTTCTTCCTATAACAAATGAGAGCCAATGAGGAGTGGATTAATAATTCTGAACTCTTTGGGGAAAATAATACATTTACTAATTAACATCTTGAAATGCCATTATCAATGACTTTGACAAGAACATATGTTATCTCTCAGTCTGTGGCCCCCATACATGTGAGAATAAAGCACATTTACCATCTTACCATCTCGAAGAGATTCTGGTCTTAGCTCTTAGTAATGACTCCTCATCCCCTACCTGTTTCCTATTCTATACACATAATGTCATATATCAAGAAATGGCATATTTCCTATGATCCTCATATTGCCTAACACTCAAAGGCTTGCTTAAGGGTCTCATACTCAACCTATAAAGAGATTCGGAATGAGAATGACACTTTTTTGCAGTCCCTCCCAGGTTCTGTGCCCTTGATTCCCTTCCCCATCATCTTCCCTGGCATCCTAAAGAGCTCCTGGGATCTCTCAGAAGGGCTTATCCACAATGGTGCAAATTTCCAGTGATGGCAATTTATGCCTTAACCCACTTTTTGGCCATTTTTCCTGGCCACTTAGGCTAATTATCCAAGTCATCTGTGTACAACAAACAAGGGCCTTCTTCCTTCAGCACTCATCCTCCGCTTCATCCCACCCAGCGGGGCGGTCATAATGCTCCATGGGGAACCATCACAATTATCTCCATGGCAATAGAGTGCAGTGTTATTAGGCCCATGGGATTTGCCATAGATTCAGATGTAGAGCCATCAAGTCACAGTATTCAGCTTGGAACAATCACCCATACTCAGCAGAAGGTCGGAACTGACCATAATGCATGTGATGAGTCACACTGAAGTAAACGTAGAGCTGTGGGGAGGGACAGGAACATTTTCTCCAACCTGATGGGTAATTTCTTTTCGTTGATGCTCTTATTGCTTCTCTTGAAGCTTTCTTAACTGGGGTCCATTCCCCGCTCTATACTATATATTTTAATCCACTTCTATAAAAGTTAATTTAGACTTCCTTTTAATTGAATATTACCGCATTATGTCCTTACAGTCTGAGTTTTATATTCTATAAAACTATTCTTCCAATATAGTGGCCACAGAAACATGACAACTGAGCACTTTAAAGAGATATGGTCTGAACTGAAGTGTCCTACAAATATAAAAGACACACTCGATTTTGAAGGCTTAGTATGAAAATAAAGTAAAACATCTTAATTTTATATTGATTACACGCTGAAATGATAATATTTTGGATATGTTGGGTTAAGTTAAATAAAATGTAAAATTAAAATTAATTTTATCTGATGCTTTCTAACTTATTTTTTTAATTAATTAAGTTATTTATTGCTCTCTTTTAAAATGTAGCTATAAGAAAATGTCAAATTACAAATGTGGCTCATTATATTTCTATCAGGCACATGGCTATAGAGTGAAATGGATGATTCCCGATAACTTTTAAGTCTGAAGAACTAGTGGCATGATAAAAATATTTAACATTTAAAGAAAGCCTTATGCTTTTTAATCTGTGCTTTTATATTATGATTACATTTGATATGATTAATTATTCCAGTATAATTGGAATTATTGTCATTCCATGATCTAACCTCAGGTACCCAATTTAATTCCCAAATGTTGCGTCAATCTCAAGATTATCTTTTAACACCTGAAAGAACTAACAAAAGGTCAATAAGGCAAAAAATTCTTGAGTTGAATAAAACTGTGTATTTCCAGGGAAGAAAGCAAAGTGGTTACTTTAAGTGTTTGGCAATTCCCAACCTTCTGCCTCTCACATACACATACTATATCTGGCCCATAGATTTTAAGAAATATTCCTGGATAAAGGAAAATCGGAGTGGGTTATAGGAACAATAAGTCTTATTATTAATGCCACATGGGAAACTGGCTCTTAGGCAAAGAGAAACAACTTCCATACGACACATCAGCCTGGGAAGCTGATGGGAAGCTTTTATCAAAATGTGCTTTAAGGTGGCAAGCCAACTCAAATGAAAGCTGGTTAAGAACAGAGCGATAAATGAAGTTGAACACAGGAGATGAATGAACAGGTTTGATGTAGTAAATTAACAAGGGATACAAGGAAACAATACATTGCACAAAGGACCATGAGGCTCAACCAGACAAAAGAACACACAGATCTTGGTGACAGGTCAGACATCCTCTTTGCCTTTCAATTTAAGTTGAGTCATCTTTGCAGCCTACCCAAAGCCTCTAGGAAAGGCTGAAAATGTTCACTGCTGCCCTCTGCTGGTTAAAACTAAATGATTTTTACACATAGTAAAGAACTGTGGGACTCAAGAGTGAAGACCTGTAAAATTAAGTTAATATCTCAAAAGACAGTGGATCATTTACAGGAACAGGCTGAGCATGGTTTGTTGTGCTGCACTGGTGAGCATGCAATGTTGTTAGATGTCTCACACAAAATAATATTTGCAATATTTATAATCTTACTATTTACTGAGTACTTACTATGTATTCACCAGACATTTTATGTATATCTCTGATTTATGTACATTATCTTCCAAGGTAATTTTTATTGCCCCATTTTACAAGTTAGGAAAGTTTCGATCAGAGAGGTTATATAACTTGCCAAATGTCACACAGCCAACGAGAGCTACTACCTGGGCCCAAATCTAGGTCTTTTTAACATCATAGCCTATGCGGTTCCACCATACCACACTAAGGCTCTGCCTAACAAAGCCTGACATCTAGTAAGTACTCAATAAATGTTAGTTCCCTTCCCTCATCATGGCATTCTGACATCATTTTCCTACCTCCTGTTGGGTTTACATTAAATAATGTGGTTACTTTTAGCAATAGAAGAAACATTTTTATTTATGGTGATAGCCATATAAAAGTCTCTGCTTTATACCTCCTCATGTGTTAAAATATAAATAAAAGTACCTGATGCCCTTTTAGCCATGCTTAGAAGCAAAGGTACAATTCAGGAGAAGCCTGATGTCAACGCCAGGAACGGTCCTCAATCAGCAAGGATGTGACCCTGGGAAGACATCTGCCAACATACACTCCTGGAGCCTGTGGCGCATGTCTTAACATACTCAGCAGTGACAGAAGGACATTGATGATGATGCGATGTTGAATGGCAAATGGGAATGAGAGAGAACTGGTAAACCAAGGAAGGAAGCACTGGCAGAGGCAGCAAAGAGGCTTGGGGCTTGCAACAAGGCTGTAGCTTAACAAGAAAAAAGGTTGTACCTTCACAGCCACGCTCAATCTGTCCACTCCGATGGAGAGCATCATTGATGAGGTCAGGCAGGCGACCATTCAAGTCCACTGATGCCAGACAGCCCTGAAAGCCATCCCGGGAGGCCACAAGCTTTGGGAGGTTGCTGTACATGCCTTGGGCCAGGCCTGCCATGTAGAGGTCACCTGAAAAGGAAAGAAGGCAGTAAAAGTGAATGAGTAAAGTGAATGAGTAAAGGAAAGGAAACCATGTCAACTAAAGCCAACACACCTTAGGCCATTTATTGAATAATGGTAATAGAGCTCTGGGAAAAAAAAAACAGTATAAACGAAATAATTACCAGAATTTCTACATTTTACAAAGAAGAAACTAACATTTCTCATGTATCATTCATTTTATAAAAGTCATCTCACATCTCACACATTTTAATCCTCATACCCTCATATTATAAAGTAGGTACTGTTACCACTTTATAATAAAGATTAACAGCATTTTCAACAAAGCAACCATTTATTGTTTTTATGTGCTTGTTACCAATAATATGCTGAGGGTTTTACAGATATTATTCCAACAAACTTCCTAACAATCCATAAAGGTAGTAACAATTGTTTTCCTAATGTTGTAAAAACGTATACAGAAGCTGAACCTGGCTAAGAAATTTTACCAAAGTCACCCAGACAGTAAACGATTCAGCTGAGATCCCAAAACCTATTTTCCTTCTTCTGTATTAGGGCCCCTAATCATTTTGACATTTATTACCCTATCATTCAGTCCCTGAGAAAATGAACCATTCCTTGAGGAGTGGTCTAAGTAAAAACTGAATAAATTACATTATGGTATAATCAACGTTGTTAAAATAGGACATGCATGATGCATTAAAAATGCAAACTACAGTATTCCTAACCTGTAGTTTGCCTCTGAAAACAGCCTTTGGATTGTAAGAAACGTTCTAAGAAGGATAAAGTTCTTTTACAAGGTTTACCTTTCAAATCCAGATTTTTGGCACCATTGATAACCTGAGTGACCACCTTCGTGTCCACTTTCAGGCTGTGAGTGTTACTGTTGTCCCGGGTGATGACGACATTGTGCCACTGGTTGTCATTAAGGGGGCGGTCACTGTTTCCTTTGATCACATTGGGACCATTTCCGAGGTCAAACACATAGTGTATGTACCTGTAAGAGAAAATGACCGACCGATGACTAGAGATTCCCTGAAGTGGTTTCATGGTGATGTGTGTAAAACTGGCAGTGGGGGCTTTGAACCCCCCATGCTAAACTGCTATCATACAGGAACAATTAAAGCTGGATGTAGGATACAAGAATCATATCCTATTCTATCAGACTTCACTTTAATTCCATGCTCATAGGGTCTACTTCTTTAATCACATCCTTGCTGATTGAGGACCGTTCCTAGTAAAAGTCCGGGAGTAATGCAGGTGGTACACTCCAAAACATTAGGGGGTGACATATAAACTCACAGTCAGTCATGGATCTGTTTTTAGGGTTTTGTTCTGGCTTTTGCTTTTGTTTTGTTTTGACTGTTTTCCAAAACATGGTAGTAAAATGTCTTGAAGATAGCTTTTTAAAATTTGATGTAGTTCTGAAAATATCTTTATTTCATTTCTTCTTATAAATATAGTGGTTACAGATAGTATTGCCCCAGAGACAGATGCAATATACCCGTAAGTTTTTTTTCCCCATAGAGTTAAAGGACTACATTTCATAGTAAAAAGCCTGATAGTATTGAGTTAGTGGAAGATCTTTAAATAAATTTGTATATATCTCTCCTTTCCAGCCCTAATCATTACACAGATATATTTTTAATCAACAAGAATGAGAGCCTGTATCAGAAATAGAGGGTGAGGAGTAGAACTGACACTTTTCATGTCCATGTTTCACACACGGCTTGAGCTAAGCTATCTAGTGTAAACCATATGATCCCTCCACTTACCCCTTGACTAGCTCCACGGCAATGAAGTCATTGCCATCACCACTATTGAAGAGAATGAAGCCATCAGCTGAGGTGGTCTTGAACTGGAAGAAGAGGTGCATGGAGGTGTAGGCCTGGAGGGTAGCCAGGCTCAGGTAGCTGCTCTTGGTCTTGAAGGTGACGGGGTCGGCGATGATGTTCCTCAGTCCAAAACGAGCCTTTAGTTCACAGTAATCAATGTCACCATTTTTGCACAAGTCAATATAAAGCAGGCCATTAAACATGAGGCTCTGCAAGTGGCCGATGAAACTGGAGGGGACAACGGAGATGTAACGTTTCTCGGTCATGATGCCGGTTTCGATATTGTGGAATTCCAAGCGGGTATGGTCTCCCACCATCGTACCTGGGAAAATGTACATGAGAGACGAACAGGAGAAGTTATCATGTTTCGTCACAGCCCCCTTACTGTATCTTTTAGGTCTAATTTTTATCCATACAAAATATTCAGTTTCCTTTAGCCAAGTCCAGAAAATAAAATCCTTGATACAGTATGCAGTTGCCTTGACCTTGTGGGGGAGCAGATTACTGGCCCAGTCCAAGTTACGTGCCCTGCATCCCATGCGCCTGTGCAGCTGTTCAGAACGCCTCAGCATGTAAGGGAAAATATGAGATCATGGGTAACTCAAATTCAAAGAGAAAATTACTGGTTTTCTCCTTCGAGAAAACAAGTTAGTACTTAGAAATTCCATAAGAAGAAAAGTCTTTTTTTGTTCTAACCCTTATAAAGACACAACAAACAAGCCTTGGGTATTCACTTCCAAATACTTCTTGGTGGAATAACACACCACCTAATAATTCAGTACCTAGTGCAGTTACGCACCATCTAACAACTTTTTGGTCAACAATGGGCCACGTATACAAAGATGGTCCCATGACGTTATAATAGAGCTGAAACTTCGTATTGCCTTAGGAGCTGTAGCAGCATCATAGTGTAATACATTACTCATATTTGTGGTGATGCCAGTGTAAATAAATCTACTGCGCCACCAGTCATACAAAAGTTTAGCACATACAATTATGCACAGTACATAATACTTAATAAAGACAATGAATGACTGCCCCTGCTTTATATATTTAGTTTACTTTCATCCTTATTTCAGAGTGTACCGTTTCTACTTACAAAAGTTTGCTGTAAAACAGCCAGCAGCAGCCTCATATATCTTGCATTGACCACGTCTCTTAGTTGCACCATTTTGTCTTGTGTTTGATTTCATCTCATGTTGTTTTGTACAGTAACATGTTTACAGGCTTATAGCCTAGGAGCAATAGGCTACACCATACAGCCTCGATGTATAGTAGGCTAGACCATCTCTGTATGTGTAAATATACTCCATGATGCTCGCACGAGGACGAGACTACAGACACATCCTTAGAACGTAAACCTGTCAAGTGGTGAGTGACTATATTTTGGAAAAGGTTCTACTGTAGAACATCTGTTAATTTTATCTGCCCAGCAACTTCTGCTTTTTCTGGTAACATCTGCATTTCCTTTGGAAAGCAACCCTCCCAACTTCACATCTAAACCTTCTGAGCTGGATGACGCTGACCCCATCATAGCTCCTGAAGTAATCGAACTACTCAGGCTGGACCAGTCAACATTTTATCGCCCAGCCAGAGTAGGATCTGAGGACCGAGAAGCAGTCTTCAAACTTTAGTATGCATCTGAATCACCTGAAGGGCTTGTTAAACCCCACTCTCTGACTTTATGATTCAAAAGTATGGGGTGGACCTGAGAATCTGCATTTCTAACAAGTTCTGAGTTGATGCCTATGTGGCTGATCTACGAAACACCCCGAGAACCACTTGCATTAGTGACAGCCCAAGCTGGTCCAGTAATAATTCAGATCCAAGGCTTTTGCTAGAACATGTACAAAAGGGGCATGGGGTACAAACGAGGCTTGCTGAAGGAATAATTCAAAAGCCGGGAACGCTGGAGGCCATGCGATAACCAGAGAGGGCTGGTCCAGCCTGAGGAGACTGGGACCCAGACAACAACCAGGAGACAGAGAGACACATTCTCTTTCGGAGGAAGTCTTTTGAAGATATGGATCCAGCCAATCCAGTCTGGACTTTTAAATTGCTTAACACATTTGAGTGGAGCTTCTGACTTCTGCACCTAAAAGTTCTCCAGCTAATAGAAATAAACTATTAGACCTTTCATTACCCAATTTACTAGACATGGTGAGTGACTGAAGCAGGGGTCAGGAGGAGGGCTTGAAATAAATACATAGAGACTGGAAATTTCAACAACAAAGTCCAGGAAAACATCATTAGTATGGTGCAGAAGGTGGCTCCCTCAACATTTATATAGATGAATCATACTAAAATTTAACAAGCCCTGTCCTAATGCCCCAGCACTAAAGGGAAGGGAAGAGGAACTCCCTGTCCCTGCCCTCTCCTCTTACCATCTTCCACGCTGAAGAAGCTCCACCAGCAAGATAACCCCAGAATCTCTTTACCCCCATCTTGTACAACTTTCCAGAGGAAAAGCAGTGACATAATCTGAAAGATTAAGGATAATCTTCAAAGAGAAACTGTATGTGCATAGCTCAGCCCTTGGCACTTCCTGTTTCTCTTTAGGGGAACGAGGCTGCTTTCAAGAAACAATCTACGCCACTCATCCACAGCACGGGTGTTTGAGAGGCGAGCCTCGCTTCGGTGATGGCTGCCTGCCCCAGTCCTGACGCTTTTGAGAAGCAATTCCATCTAATTCTGAAGTTCAGTAGGTAGATAAAAGCCCCATTTTTCACCATTAGTGTTAAAAAAAATTAATAAAAATGATATTTGGTTTCTACCTGTGTTTTTTCCCTCTCTTGGCACAGAACTCAGGTGGCAAAAAGAGGGGGTTATATTTTCTTGGGTCCCTTAAATTTCAATACCTGAGAGATTGAAGGAGATCATATCCTCAATATTAATTTTGTCTCTTGAGGAGCATACTCAGACCTAATTCAAACAATTGCTCATACGCACAAAAATCAGATTTGTATTTTGTAAGTTTCTATGTGGTGTTTTGACAACTAGTTACAAATCATTCTCTTCATATAAGCAAAAATAAAATACTGATGTTGGCTAATTTAAATATAAAATTGTAATAGAATAAAATCAAAATGCAACATAAATCTGCTAACAATTGAATAACTAGGAAAAAGAATTACTGGATAAAATTACTAGCATTAAAAATTGGGCTGGTCATGAGAATGCAAAGTAGCATAACCTAAATTCAATACTCTAAAACAATGAAGTGACTGAAATAAATAGCCAGTGTCAATTTGGCTGTAGCTATTTAGGCTCAGGGCTGCATGAATGGGGAGGGAAAAACCATAGCCAATCTCGATGGGGACACAAGAACTGAACTATGATGATGCTGACAGTCATGCTAATTTTTATATTATAAAAAAAACAAACAAATAAAACAGCAATGGAAACTAAGAAGTAGTAATGGGGTGATCACTGGTAAAGACTGGAGTTCCACAAGGAATCATTTTAAAGCCAACTGGGATCTTTTAGAGAAATTATGAATGTAATGACCTCCAGAATTGAGGGCTTAGGAAATTCTGCTCACTAGAAAATGAATTTCATAAAGAAAATCATGTAAAAATTACATGAAAATCATGTAAGATTGAGATAGAAGAGAGACTGAAGAAGGTCTTGGATAAGTAATAGAAGGGAAACTAACAATGGAATTTGAATGCTTAGCCCAGGGACACAGACTGATTGAGGGTCTAGGATGACTCAGATAAGAAACTGGTGAGGAGCGGGGAGAAGGTGATGCGGGGCCAAATTAGAAAAGGAATTGGCTTCATTGTGTGATAAAGGAACTCACTTTGCTGTGGATGGAGGTCTCCAAAAAGTATGCTATTTTACCAAGAGAAAGCCCTGAAGATATTGCTTAGAGTTTGAAACAGGTACCCAACTAAGCAAATTTTTTTTTAATCTGCATATCACCTTGTCAGTATTAATAACAGGGAACCTTCTCACTTATCTCCTCTGAATGCAGTCTATAGATTGAAATTCCTTTCCATTAAGGGCAAAATATATGCACACTTCACAGCAGCTGCTTTCAAATTTCAAAGAAACGAGGAGTAACTCGAGAGAACGATGACAAGGAAAAATTACTACTGAATACTCCCTATATACCCAGCATTGTGCTAGGCACCTCGCAACAACCATTAAATGTCATTATCACAATAAAACTGTAGAAAGGTATCATTATCGAGCTTTAGAGGTGAGGGTATTCAGCTTAGAGAAGTCAAGCAATTCGATCAAAAGTTCATACCGGTGGTAAATAGTAGACCCCCAAATTGAATCCAGGTGTGTTTAATTCCAAAGCCCATATCTTAATATGTACACTAAACTGTCTACGCTATACTCTTTGGGGAAAAGGCTTGACTGGTTCCTTGCACTATTGCCCAAGAAAAGCCATAGGTAGAATTTAACAGGTGAAATGTCCATGCAGAAGCTGCCGTAATGAATTCACACTTCTTCCCTATGATCAAGGGTCATAATGTCATCCCATCTAATCCATGGGTAACACATCCAGCAAGCACCTTCACTAGGACAACTATGTTGCCTTGGGTCCTATTTATACATTCTCTTCCACATCTCACTAACAAAGAGCAGTTTACAGACCAGCCCTCAGGGATGAAGTCTGTTAGGAACATAAAACTAGGCAAAACCTTGGCCCAGTTCAAGCTGTAACTTCATATGAGACATTAGCAGAGAGGGGATGAGCATGTAGGCTCTGAGGCTGGACTGCCTGGGTTACTTAACTTTTCTATGTCTCGATTTCCCATCTGTGAAACAGGTATGAAGTTATCAGGATTAAATATATCAATACATAGCACTTAGAACAGTGCCTAGTGCTCAAACTATTAACTATTACTAATTTGCAGCATTCATTTTTTTTCTTTTCTCTGAAATATGTTAATCATTTTCTGGTTATTTCGCTTATTGTTTTCTTTCTTTTATGAAATTATAAGCTCTTTTTAAGTAAGGTGCACCTCTTCCCTCTTCCATAGAGTTTAGCAGAGGGTCCTGAGCACAGTAAGCATCCCTGACACCTGAGAAGGAAGCTGTATTTGAGACATTTTCTTTGGAGTCAGAATTCAGATCATTGTCATTGCTTTAATGAGGTTCCTGGCCAACACCAAGAGCTTAGCAAAGAAATAATGAGAATGGCTTAGAGGAGGCAATTTGATCTCCCATGGTCCCCGAGAAGAGAAGTTAAGAAAGGAAGGCTTATACAGTCTCAGTAAAGGATGCAAATTTTATCCACAATCTTCCAGTTCCACTGCTCCCACATCCTTTTTCCACAATATCAACATTTTTCAAAAGTGTATGCTGTAAAATGCTTCAGTTTAAAAAAACTTTTGGAGCCAACTAAATCTGGCAAACACTGCATACTTAATTATTGATGATTAGCAATCTGTGTTAGCATATTAAAGGCTCCTAATAAGTCTTACAATAAAGCAATCCTCTTCATTTAGTTTAACCTAACACTTCCCACATCTAGCTCATCATATTTTTAACATGAGGAACAAGTTTTCCATGGAAAACTTTGGAAAATGACCTTTTCCATCTTGGTACTGTAAGTGCAACGTGGGGTGATGGTGGGAGGGAAGCGTCGACGTGGACCAGAGTGGACCCAAGAGGGTGTCTCTTTGTACCAGCAAGAAGTTCTTAGTGGAGTGGGTGGCTCACGCAGCATTAGGCCCCAATTCTGAGGAGCATGACCCAAGTGAAGTAGTCTTATCATTTACTCTTGACAGTAGAAATCCAGCTCAATCAATCAATCAATCCTTATTAAGTGTCGACTGAACTTAATACTTTCCCAGGAATGCATTGTATTCTAATAAATGAAAACCACTGGGCTGAGGAATATTTATTTCCTTGCTTTTGATTTCTTATGAGTCTCACTTATTCTTTGCATCATTTCTACAAACCAGCTGAAAATTTGACACCCTGGGGGACCTTAAACAGCATGAAAGGGATTACTAAACAAGCCAATAAGACACTACTTAATAACATGAGGACTGAGTGGTATTTTAGTTTCATTGCCTGATTTTATGACTTCTGTGAGCTAAAATTAAAATTCCCAAACCCCTTATCACTGTAAAAGCAATCCAAGGTTGTAGCTCATAAGCAAAATCGCTCTTTTCTTCTCTCAAATTTCTTTATCCTTACGGCTGCTTTTTTCCATCAGCAGCAGAGTAGGGGGTAAGGCAGAAAATGAAAGAGCTTCATTAATTTCAAATATCAAATTACTGGGTGATTTGGGGCATACCATGGTTTAGTCCTGCTTTTAAATTATTAGAGGTAAGAGAAAGCACACTTTATAATTACCTTTATTCTAAAGTTTCTGTAAAAAAAATAATGACCGATGGGCAAAACACATTACAGTACCCTCAGTTCTGCAGTTCTTAATGACTACAGCTTTCGGGGCATGTAATTTCCTATGGAAATAAAAGGGAATCACTATTGGAAGAGACTGGGGTGAGGTCGCCATCTAGTGGCAGCTATTCAAAACAATCTGTGCGTAGCATCACTTCGGCTTACTGGGCAAAAAACCCAGGAGTTAGAAAAGCATGTGTGACCTGACTCATCACCGCTGCCTTTTGCAGGCTCCTGTCCGCACTAACACCTCATGAGTGTTTCTCAAGTGATTAATTCAAGCTGGTCGTGGGTTCTAAACCTTATAACTATTTTTGCATCTCTTTGCTTACATTCATTACATAAGGCCTGTAGAACAGAAACCTTACCCCCTACTACTAAATTAGGTCTATGTACATTCGGAAGGTTTGGCATAGTTGTTGTGGCCCTGTTTTAATTCTGGGGAGGAGGAGAGTGGGTTTACCTACTGAATTGTATTCCCCATCTCGCCCTGGTCCATTCCATTATATTTTTTCCTACACTGTAAGATAACTTTCTTATGATGAATTAGGAAGTCCAGCAAGCAGCATCATTTGGTGAAATCACATAGACATGAATTTGGAGCTTAATTACATCGCTCCCTCTAAGTTTCATATTCCCTTTATATAAAATGACAATAAGAACACGAACCGTGCAATAGAGACGGAAGGAGCTGATGTGTCTAAGACAGCTAACATAGTCTCTCATGTCTACTGGGCACTAGATACATGCCTCATGCTCTTCCTCTACGCATAGACTCTCTTTCTCTACTGACACACAAACACACACACACACACACCCTCCCTACCTGCACACATACACGCATGGTTCACTACAATTCCTGATTCCAGATGTAAAAAAGCTCAGGCTCATGAATATAAAATTAAATTATAGGGCCAATAACGCAGAACTTTTATGCTGAAAATGGCCTTAGCAATAACAGAATTTCAAGTTTAAAAATGAGGAAAAAATGAGGGAAAGCATTTTAGTGACAATGACTGTATTTAATCCCAGGGCTCCTGGCTCAAGCCTGACTGTCTTATTCACAGAAGACACTGCAGAAATGGCTTAGGCAACTTACTTCATTTGACAAGGCCCAGAAACGGTGACTTTCCCAACATCCTGCAGAAAATTAACACCAGAGTCTGGGTCTCCTGATGCCAACACTGTTCCATGTAATGCTCCATGCTGCCCCAAGTTTTCATTTCCCAGATGGATGAGAATTCTAGGTTAACAGATGTGCACTGCCATGGGATACTAGAGAGTGTAGACTTCCAGGATGCAGCACGTAAAATGCACTTGAAGGTGCCCTCTCTGTTCCACCATAGACCTCATTAATCAATTTCCACCTTAAGATCTACCTTCATAAATCACGCCTGCTTTCTTCAGCCCAAATTTATAATTCTCTGTTCTGACTGATAATTATAATCTCACCCACTCAAATTAGAATCTCATTATATATTCCTTGTCTTATTTTCAAATACACAAGTCCTATCTAATGTACTAGATTGGTTAACTGTTTGAGAAAAAGGGCAATCTCTTGCGCTTTCTTTTTATTTTCTACAATCCCCAGCACACTGCTGACATATAACAGGCTCTCAAGAAATACATGGTGCTTGTGTGAGACTCTGAATGTTCCTTACTTATGTATGGATTCATTCATATATTCATTGTCCTCCTAGAATGTAAATTCCACCAGGCCAAGGACTTGCCTATTTGTCAACCACCATATTCCCGGTGTCTACTAAAGCAGTTTTTGGTATACAGTAGGTACTTAATTAATAACGACTAAATAAATGAATAATTATTCAGCGCTTTCTAAGAACCACGCATTGGTCAAGGTACTTATTTTTACCTATTATTTTACCTACTACCTATTATCTATCTTCCTCTTCTAGGGAGTGACTCATTCATTGAAGGAAGGAACTCATACTTAGGGTGACTGATATGTGATGTTTTAATAACTGGATAACAGAAGGGTCTATAGAGCCCTATATTTGTTCTCCAGACACATACTTTATGCCTAAGCAGACCCATCGATATATAATTATAGTGGCAGGTCAGTTCTATAATACACATCAATGAACAGGGATTTTGAAAATAAAGAAGATCTTCTTAGCCTTACCTGAGCTTGTCAACAGAGAACATGACATATAACTTCTGTTAAGCAAATTAAAGCGTTCTGAAAAAACGCTTTGCTCACCGAAAGACCAAGAGGACTATGAGAGCAAAGAGAGACTAATTGCACTTGAGCTTTACTCACCCTCAGCCACATCATCGTCCACAGTTAGCTTAAGGCTTTTCCCTCTCCGCACCACCCGAACGGTGTGCCATTCATTGTCGTTGAGCTTCTGCCCCGCATACAGGGTCTCAGGTCCTTTGCCTAAGGACGGTGGTAAGTGCCAAAGTTAGAATCATTCTAAAAAGTAGTGCTCACGGCATCAGTCACTAAAGCCACACTGGTGCACATGACCTAGCAATATTTAAGGAACCACATCCCTTCCCGAAGCCCGTCCAGTTTCACTGATCCAACAGGATACTCTATAAGAGTTTCCAAGTGCAAAAGTTTCAATTCAAACATAACAGTGACGAAGTAATGAAAGAAATAAGTGCCCTCCTTCATCTATAGACACAAGCTTTAAATGGCACTGGCACTAAGGGAACATTTACAGAAAACAGTTACCAGTTGTCATTTTGTTTCCCAAAGTCTGAGATTTCAGATGAATTTCTTGAAGATACAGGAAATTCACCATACATTTTTTAAAACATTTGGTCATTTGGGCATAATACACCAGTCTGGCTTTTGGAGAGTATCCACCCAATTGGATGAGAAAAGAGCTCTGTAATGAAGGCTCTTAACTTGACATTTCCATTAACCCTTGGCCATATCAGTGGCCATATAAATCACGATAGTAATCATCACAACGATAATAATACCATTATAAATAATGCTCCTGAAGGGAATGTGAGGGCCCCTGAATTATCTCATTGTTCATCATACTCCAAAAAGATCCAAAGACCTAAAAACTGAAATAATGTAAAATTCCAACACTGAATTTGTTCATGTCAAAAGAATATTCAGTAGAACATGTCACCAAATAAAGGAATAAAGCAAGTTGTCTCAAAAGATTCATGCTCAAGATGCTTGAGATGATGTTCAAATGCACCCTAGGGTGAATCGGGTGCAATAAGGAATTCTAGTAGTTAGGAGCAAAAGCTGGCAAGATAGACTCTGAGACATTAAAACAATTTGGCTAGTAATGGGGGAAGGAATGTCATGTTTCACTCAATAATGAACTGAGATGTAATTTCAAAAGACAAAGAAGACTGCATAGAATGAGATAACTTAGACCAAATTCGTACTCTTATATGGACAGCTGAGCCCATGAAGAAAGATGCTTCTTAAATTTTGTGAATTAATCAATCAATATATGGAAAGCCCTATCTCGGGAAATAAACTGAAAAAAAATGAAATATTAATGGAGCAATAAACCCCTATGGATATTGTGCATCTGAAATACTTCAAAAGACCACACACTTGGCTCCAACATAAAAGAACACAGAGCCAGGTACATAGTGCATGTGTTAATGAGTACTTGTTGAATAATTGAGGTCTAATAGGGCTTTATGTCTTTGGATGTGACCGAATAAGGTCAATATATATTTATGTAAGTGATTTTGAAAGCTTTATTATGAAGCTTTTACTAGCCACTCTCCCTTCTCTTCTATTCCCAAGACTGAAGGTATATATACTGTTTAAGGAAGAAGATAAGAAAGAGTATACTTGGGTAGAGATCTTTCAAAGTAGGTAATTTAAAGTTCTACCCTTTAATTTTGAGTAATTAGTATTCCTATTAAATGCTGGTTATGAAAGTTATAATAGCAGTTGAAGTCTGGGGTGATTTTATTCTAATACATATATTTATATTCAAAGGGGAAAGGTTTCTTTTCTTTTCATTTTCTTTTTCTTTCTTTCTTTTTTTTTTTTTTTTTTGGAAAAGTCTCTTTTAATTACAGTATATTCAGCAGATGATTCACCAAATGCAACCTAAATTCACAAGAATCCTGAGAATTCAGTGAAGAAACCTTAGAGTGGACCAAATATCTCCCAAATTGGGTAATGGTGCCATGATATCAATAAATCTTAGGGGAAAAAAAATTCAATAATACACCAATCTTAGCCTCTCTTCTTGAGTGTGCCTGTCTCTAATATTATCTAAAATGTATATATTATGATGTAAAATGTATACATTACAATTATACATTATAACATGTACATTTCAACTCACTAGCTAGCACCATTCGTTAAAGTCAGATCTAAGATTAATATAACGATAGCCTTTACAAGAGCAAATTGTGTGAGCATTGGGAGAAAATGGACCACATCACGTGAGTACTTTGAAACAAGAACAGATGTTCTCAGAAGAAACAAATCTGTCTTTGTTTTTTTTTTTAATGTTTTTATCCTCTTTATTCTACATGCAAATGTTTCTATAAGAAAGAAGAAAGCAAAGAAAGATGTGGAAAATATTGGCTATGGAAGCAGAACTGTTACAAGTACAAACTCTTAAAACACCTATAGGTGGCATCTGTTCTTTAGGCAATTTTTGTACATCACTTAGTTTTTATGATTGGGGACGAGATGAAAGGAAGAAATACTAACACAAACACAGTCAGTTTAAGACATTGCTACATTAGTGCCACATTAGCCACTGAGATGCAAAACAAGCTTTGCCTCAGTCCAGTGTTTTAAATGCTGCTGATATCCTATGGAACTTCAGCTCTTCTGGTTTGTTGAAATGACCATTATGGCCATATTAAAACAAAAATATTTAATGGTCCATTTGACTTTAAAGCTTTGGGATGCGATGGTCTATGACCAAAAATGTGAAAAAATAAATAAATCATAACAGAAACCATTCGCGACCCACTTCCTGGTTACATTTGATACCTCTAACCTCAATATTCTTACTGTAAATGAAGAAAAAAAGATTCATCAGCATCTCATTAAAATGTCAGGGAAATGAGTATTATTCAATATTTATTTTCAAGGAATAAATACAGAAATCTCAGTGAGCTTCTGGAAAACTTCTGATACCAAAAGTGGAGTTTATCTTTAGTCAAGCCAAAAGCTCAATTCATTCCAAGAGAAGGAAAGTGATGTTTAAACTCAGCTGGAAACATAGCTGAATAGAGAGGAAGAGCAGATCTAATTTGTAGCCTGAGCATAAAACTGGACTGATAAGTGATGCAAGAAGCAGACACAAGTTAAAAGTCAAAAGATACAAATGGTTATGTTTAAAAGCAGGAAGATCTAGTCTAGGAAAGACTTCTCTGGCAGATTCAAGCACAAAGCCAGTGAAAAAGCATCAGTAAAACAATGAATGTAAAAAGTCTGCCCTATAAATCAAGGGTGGTCCAGATAAGAAGGAGAAACTTTTTTCTTTTTAAGTTAGAATTTAAAATGGAACTGGTAGGAACTTAAAGCAATAGCAAGAACGACAAAACTCAAAGCCATCAATTGTCCTGCATCGCCCTTTTTCTTTTTAGTAGCTAGAGGTATAATCTGCAATTAGTTACGTGCTGGATGAATGTAGTAGATGAATGATTCCTTCTTTTATAGTTTAAGCAGTAAAGACTAATCACAAAAAAATCCCTTTGATTCCCTTTAATAATCTGTTTAGATTATCACTGTTAGATCTAAATACAGAAAACTTATTCGACCCTCTCTAGTTGAATTTCCCAGGTAATGACACCTGTGTCTGGAGTTAAGAAGCACAATCACGGTTGAGTATCGCCAGGATGCAGATGGCTGTAGAAATGCAGTGCTGAATTGTTCACCATTGTAGAACCAAGGGCCTTTCAACAAATCCTCTGGGTAACATCACCTACATGCCACGCTTGATCTAGTCTCACTGCAAAATCATTTAGCATCATCTCTTTTAGTTAAGGCTTGTCTCACAGAAAATGGTCTAATTCTCTGATGAACAGGGTGTAGAGAATGAGGCATCCCAGATGAGGGACACAGACTAGATTGTTTTTTTTTTTTTTTTTTTAACCTATCCCACAGAAATCTTATGGAAGTCCTATTTCTTTAAGGAGCCAGAACTAATAATAAAATCTAAATGAAAAATGATGAGAAAGCACTTTTTGAAAGAAAAATCATTGCTGATTGATGAGAAGATGATACTCAGAAGTTAGCAGATGGTTGGTTCCCTGTTTCAGCAGTTAGGGAATGGGAGTATGTGGTGGAAACACACATCTGTGCATTATTAAAGGCACACACCTTAACAAGGTGAACTCTGGATTTTAATTGTTTCAAATGTATCTATCTATCTATAGCAGAATGTTCATATTCATGATTTTTTAAATTCCCCCCAGGAGCAATATAACCAGAAAAACTACAAGATATACTCCTCCCCGTTCCCCCCGCCCAATATACATTAGTTTGTTAGCAGACTTCTAAGACCTGACCAAACCAACTAACCCAGATGGTTTTGCTCATATGCAGGGAGTAGAAATTCCTTCCATCTGTCACAAAGTGCTATTTCCAAGAATAGGTGGGTAACATTTGGAAACTTTTTTTTCCTTGCGGGGGTGGGGTGGGGGGACAGCAATTAAGGAGCAGCACCTCTACCGTAATCACTTTGCTTTACCTGAACATCTTTCTATTGGCGCAAGAAGGAAAAGGAACAATAACTTGCTTCCCTTTGGAAAAAGGGATTTATGTTTCACATAAATCAAAATTTCTACGATACATAAGAGTATGAAATTCTCGCCCTTAGAAAGGCATAGTGATGACACATCTAAATGATATGGTAAATAAATACTCAAAACGAATGTCCGTGTTAGGTTTAAAGAACACCAAAAATATTTAAAAAGAGAAAACTTACCTTCGTTTCCACCGGCACCTTAGGGTAGCTGTGACTAACATTCTACTAAGCCTGCCGCAGCATTTATTTTCTGTCTTCCTACCCAGAGAGAATCGGTTAGGCAAGTAGAAGCAGGAGGGATGAGGACAAAAGAATGGAAGTAAAGACTAAGGAGCGTGACAGGGAGATAGAAAAGAAGCATTTTATTTTCTGTGCAAAAATATTTCAGGTTCTGGTTTTCTTGTTGACCACAGAAAGGTAGAGGTGTTTTATTTTTATAAACTTTTTGGTTTCCAAAGCACTCATTTTCTTTGAAAAACTTTTTAAATCGTATTTACTCAATCAGTCAGTTTGCTGTAACATTTCAAAGAGCACATTTCATTCTCACTGGAGTTCTCAAGTCTCGGGAAGAGCTGTCATCCTTCCTATAATAGATATGAAAAGCATAGGAAACCCTCCTCTACGCAGCTTCCCAGCGAGGTGTGATAAAGACAGGTGACCCAGTTACTCA